GAAAAAGAACCCCAGCCGAGCCAGTACCCAAAGGGTTAACCCGGCCTCCTTCCCCCCGCAGCCCCATGGCACTACAGGACGCCCGGCCCTCCAGCACTCCCCCTGAAGGGGAAGGAAGGCAACGGGGAGAAGGCAGCGCCCGCTACCCCCCGGCGCCTGCGGCAGGAGGAGGGGAGGATGGGGTGGCAGCTCACTTCTCGCTGTTGTTAACGATGACGCCGCCGCCCTCCGAGTGGTTCCTGTTCAGCGCCATGGCCTCCGCCTCCGCCTCCCAGCGCCGAGCCCGCTCTGCGCCTGCGCGGGACAGAGGTGCGTGACGCGCGACGGAAGCGGGGTATGCCGGGATGGAGCGGGGCGCGCGGGGCATGCCGGGAGTTGTAGGCGCTGGGGCCGCCCTGGTTGAATCCCGGCAGGAAAAGCGCTGGGATCAGCCCGGAACCGCCGCGCCCGCTGCACCACGGCCTGAACTGACACGTCCAAGCGTTGCTCTGCGCCTGCGCGGGACAGAGGTGCGTGACGCGCGACGGAAGCGGGGTATGCCGGGATGGAGCGGGGCGCGCGGGGCATGCCGGGAGTTGTAGGCGCTGGGGCCGCCCTGGTTGAATCCCGGCAGGAAAAGCGCTGGGATCAGCCCGGAACCGCCGCGCCCGCTGCACCACGGCCTGAACTGACACGTCCAAGCGTTTTGAACACTTCCAGCGATGGAGACCCCACCACTGCCCTAGGCAGCCCATTCCAGTGCTTGACCACTCTTTCAGTAAAGACATTTTTCCAAATATCCAACCTAAACCTCCCCTGACACAGCTTGAGGCCATTTTGTCTTGTCCCATCGCTTGTTACCTAGAAGAGACCGACCCCCACTTCGCTACAGCCTCCTTTCAGGGACTTGTAAGAAGGTGATAAGGCTCCCCCTGAGCCTCCTTTTCTCCTGACTAAGCAACCCCAGCTCCCTCAGCTGCTCCCCATTATCCATAGGGATTTTTCAGGCTAATTCAGTTACTTTGATTTTCACACCACTTCTGTTACAGGATTGAAGGCGTATATCTTTGAAGGATTTAATATGGGATCTAAGACATATATCCTTGAAGGATTTAGTATTGGATTTAAGACCTATATCTAAAAATAAGTTAATTAACAACTTACACCTGCAAGTCATAGAGAGAAAATATGGTCTTGACTAGAGGGATTTCAGTTGAATGAGAGTCTCCAGACAGTGATGGATGAGCGGACCTGGATCAAAAGTCTCCTGGTGGGGATGGAATATTCTGATATACCTGGACAATAAAAGTCTCCCCAGGTGCCCAGTTTTATGCCATCTCTCAAAATTTAACATGTGCTTTCCACATGTTTCCTTACCGTATATGGGAAAAGACAACTTGGGTTCAACTAAAGGATGTGAGTGTATGACTACCGAAGACCTCCGACTCAAATCAATGAGCGTGCATAACTGGGAGGAGAACTCCTTATCATAAGGCTTTTTTTTTCAGCAAATATGAGTAATATGCATGTTTTTGCTCTATATAAACTGTAGGTACTCAATTGTAGGCAGACATACTACGTGAAACTAATTCCCCGCATCTCCAGTGCCGTAATGAAGAATGCCTGCTTTTTAAGACTCCAAAATGAGTCTTAGAGAGTTTTTGTAAGCCGTAATTTTCAGTTTCACTTCCTAAAGAATTTCTGTAAAAGAGAAGGGGAGTGAAACAGGGAAATACTTTTATACCAAAGAAGCTGCTGCATGATAGAGTCCTTCAGTAATGTGCTCGGCTGCCTGTTCTTTGCATGTTATAAAATCTGGTGCTGATGAGAGTTTTGAAATACATTGGTACATCTACTCAAAATAACAGCAATGTATAAAATGAATTATGGCTCCAGGCTCCCACTGAAATTCAGAGGCAAAGCCTGAGACTCAATACAATAGTCCCAATATTAATGTAAAAATACAAACTATTTGATTTATAATCAACATTAATTTACTGAGCTCAAGCCAGCTTAGGTTTTATTAAGTTTCCTCAGTTTTCTAACATATAAGAGGCAGGAGTAATACAAAGAGCCAGTCTCTGTTTTGAAAGAGCTCTCTAAGGTGTTTATAAACCCATTAATCATCCAATTACATGTCCCGCTGATCATACACAACAAAATTATTTAATTTATTTAGAGCCTACGTGATGTTGGCAGCATTCTTCTGGCTTTTCTACTTGCAAGGGTACTCTGGCATAGCGGTGCTTCACAGGTGGGAGTTTGCAGAGCACCCTGACAATGTTTGAATCAACATTTTGTTTCAAAATGCTGTATTTTGCTGCTGTTTGGACCTCATTTTTTATCCTGAAGACTTTTCCTGGCTGGCTCACTAGCGGGTAAAACATTTTCCCTAGGAGGCTGTCCAGTTCTGCATGTGAGATGGGGCTGTTTGCACATCCCGTGCAACCACAAGTGATTTTCATGCTATTTGGAAGGATCTCCTCAGAGAAAAGTCCAGAATTAAGTGAAATGGAGACAACATTGGACTTTCAGTAGGTGGTATGGTCAGAATTCAGATGTTTGGTAGAGCAGAATAAAAATCATCCCATGTATGTGATGGTGCTGCACATAAAACAAGGCTTAAACCCCTTAAACAGGAAAGATGCTTGCCCCATTTCCAGCCATTTTTATTTCACGTTTGATGCACATTTTGTGTTTCACATACTTGCAAATGGATTTTTGAGCCTGATATTGGCTGCTTTCCATGCTGGAATCAATCACATCCTAAAATTACCCCTTTATATTGGAAAGAGTTAAACTGGAAAGCCTAACCAGGCGCCCTATAAACAAGTCAGGACCTTGTCTGTCTGTCTGGAGGGAGGGAGGGAATCTGAGGCCAGGAAAATACCTGTGGTGTTTGCAGAGCTACAGTAAGGGCATAATGTATTGCCTCCAGGTGAGCAAGCAGGAGGAACTCTTAAAAACCCAGAATAATTGCATAACTTCATTAAAAATAGGAGCTCTGCAAAACTAATCAACTGTTTTGAAGGACTTCTCATTTCAGTAACTGACAACTGTGTATCAATAATGTAAATATATATTAAGAGCATATAGTACCCTGTATCTTTTTTTTTTAACCCTAAATTGTATCTTTTTATATGGCTTTGAGATTTGTCCTGCAGGGTTTGCAGCCCAGCCCTGTCTGAGTGCCCGAGAACCAGATGGGGTGTGGGGGAAAAAGCAGAAAAACGACATAATGGAAAGCAGATTTAAATAAATGCAGTGACATAATCTGTACACTTCTTGGCAAGAAAAGAACAAGTTTGTTCTTTTCATATCCGCTTTTTCAATAAGCAGTAAGTTTCCCTTTTAAGAAATGTTTATAACAAACAGTCCTAATTCCTCTCCTATTAAAGTCAGTAGCAGACATCCACTCAGCTTCCACCCCGCATGAACTACGACTCGCCCAGTTTTTTTCCTAGCTCCTAGTTCCAGCCAACATTAAGAATTAAGAAACCCAGCCTTCATTTTAAAAAAGGTGCTGGTGTGAGTACCAGCGTGCATAGGAAGCTCTAGACCTTCTCATCACATAGAAAACCTTGGAAATTTAGACAATAAAAGCTGAAAACACTAAGGAAAAAAGTGCCTAATCTATTAATCTTTGTTATTTCTAAGCTGAGGACTGAGGTGGAAGAGAGAACTGAGATAATTCATTGTTTTGAATTGCCCAGCGCTGACAATATTGTTATTGGATTTTAGGATTCTTCCGCTCCTTTTGCAGTCGAGCAAGAAAAATGTGTATTTGGCACAATTCCCTTAGACACACTTGGAAAACAAAATCTGTGTTATTTTACGCCAGACGTACAGGACACAGAAAAACAAACACAAGATAATGGGACAGCTCTAACAGTTCAGTAATTAAAGGAAACGCAACCCAGAGCCATGCCTGTATAATATTTAATTGCAAATCATAGTCTCTACCATCATTATATTATTCTGTTACAGTTTTTTCACACACTGTAAAGTACTCTCCAGTAACTATATTTTAAAAATCCTAATTAAAAAGAGGAACACTCTGTGACAGCAGAAATAACTCAAGGGAACACTGAAAGGCTGTTTAAATTGCCAAGTGCTATGTATCCATCGAAACCCACCACACACTGTACTTAGCCCTTCGTTTGCAGCAAAATCAGTGATTTAGAGCTGGCTAGTGCACATTTCCTAATCATTCCAGTTTACACCCCAAATTGTTGGCAACACAGCGCAAACTCTGGTTGAACGCCCCAGGGGGAATTGCTCCTGTCTTAAATGGGTCAGAATTTGCTTTATGCCCTAAACCATGAGGATTTATAGAGCTTCCAACCAGGATAAAAGCCAGCAGCAGGATGGAGAGGGTTGGGTAGCACTTCCCGACCACATCACATCTACAGGAGCCCTCAAAACCCGCCATAAAGCTGCGTATCAACACCCCAGCTCTCAGGGCAGAGGTGAATTAAGCAAAAGCAGCAGCACAACCAGAAGCAAAGTCTGAACACCAGATGTGTCCTCCTGAGCTGCTCCCGTGTGGTTACAGGGTGGAAAGGGAAAAGTGTGGGATCCCTCCGCACCATCCCAAACCCTCCAGGAGTTCAGAGACTCACGTCCATGCACTGGATAACATGGAGAAGGGAGGGATGCATGGCTCAAGAATGGTTTTCCCCACAGAGCAATCAATCCGCCTACAGCAAAACGAAATGGGGCAAAGGCCCAGATCTGCTGTATTTACCCTGGCAAAAGTCCTCACTGTGAACAGTGGGAGTTTTGTCTGTATAAATGAGATTTAGGGCCCAGAGAGAGCTGAGATGGGAGCCTGCATGTGAGATCTCTTCCTGCATGCATGCAGCAGAGATCAAGGTTACCTTCCCCTTCCTCTCGGGATGAGACCATGCATGGGCTGTTGCACATCTCTACCTTTCCTATCTGGTAAGGCATTTCTGATACCAAGTTCTCGCCGGTGTTAACAAAACAGCACCGATGCCTGCGCTGTGTCACCGCTGACATCTCCTGCAAAAGTTGAGTTTTGCAGGAGAGCAACTGGTGCAAGCCAAACAAAGCAGTTTTGGGGTAGGAGCTCAGGACACAGGGAATGAATTCCCATCTGGACAGAAGTTCAGGCAGCATTCCCTCTGGCTGGGAAACACCAAGATTTAATCGAAGTATTTCACTCTGGAAGCCCTACCTCCCCTTTTCCCACCGCCTGCAGTATTTTAGGAGTTGTGACAAGCAGAGGAGGAGGAGGAGGAGGAGAGGGGATTTGCAGACACATCCCAGCAGTCCCCCCTCCCTCAGACCCTCACCCAAAGAGAGCCCACGACAGCGGCCATTTGCTGGGAACAGGCAGCAGGAACTGGCAGCACTAGCAAAGGAGTTACAGTAAAGGAGCTCTTTAAGGCTCAGTGTTTATGTAAACGTGGCTTTAACGTTAAACCTCTCCGCTTTGTGGCTGTCTTTTTATTCACATTCACTTTTTTCCTTTGGCTCCACTTGAATATACCACTATGATTTCCAGCCTATCCTTTGGGGATTATATATGTATTTCATATATTTAGCTAAATGGGCCATTTTCTATCCCTGTTGACCATTGATGTGTCATCACTGACTCACTCATGCCAGGAAAGAACCTGATCCAATATATTTTCTCTCTAGGTATATATTACACAGCATTACGATTCTGTAAAGCAAGCTGCAGGAGGTAGGTAGCAAACTAATCCCAGGAAAAATAAACTTATGGAAAGCCGCGCTGTGCAGAGACACGGGCTGCACTGTGCTGCCCTTCCAGGCGGTATTTCTGTATTTTCTTTCTGGAAAAGCTCCCTTAGGACACGTGAATTGGTATTTTTGGCTCTCAGCCTCAGGTTTCCACCTTTACCAGAGGGGACACTTGCTTGAGAGTAGTTTTTGTTAACTGTCACTTATTGCCAGAGCCTAAAGGGTCCTTTAACAACTGACTGATGCTGCACCTTCTGTCAATACACTCACAGCTGTCCCTGAAAAACACCAATTGCCGCTGGGAAATACTCACAGCACCTCTTTGTCACTTAAAAAACTCTCTAAGTTAAGGGGTACGCTTACAGCTCAAGTGTACCCATGGCACTTCAAGAGTTGGGAGTTTAACAGTACTAAAATCCCCTAAAATAGTAGGGTCATCAAAAACATCGGAAATTTGGCTGTAAAGCTTTGGTAAGCAGTTCCTGAAAAACTTGATTACTAAAAGCATATCCTCAAAATTGCTTTATGCTGCTTGCTTTACCATCTCAAGGCAGGAACGGTGCTGCTGTTTTTCAGCAGTAGGTTTCTCCCTTTCCCAGCTGGGATATTTGGCTGTGGTGAGAAGCAGCCCCACAGCCAGGGGGGCTCCAACACACAAAGGACCATGGCTTTTCCCAAAGGAGCCTGGCCAAAAACCAGCATTCAAAATACCTGCTGGCCACTGTGCAAGGGAGGACAAAGGTCTCTGTTTCATGTTTGCAGCACTAATGGGTGGTCAGCCCATACTGTGTCACCACTGCATCGCTCCTGCACCAGCTGGGCTCCTCCGCATCCCACCCGCCTCAGAGCACCCTGCTCACCCCCACCAAGGCATGATGGCGATGCAGGCACCGGGGAAGAAACTGCATCTGCTCTGGGGGTTCATCTGGTCTGTGCTGGGCTTGCTACTTCAGAGGCACTTCATAAGGAGCACGTGGAAGGTGGCGATGAGCCAGCACTTAAAAAAGTAGCAGCAGCGACACAGAGACTGAGATAAGGCACAAAGCGGAGCATCTGTGCAAGTCACCAGGGCAGTGCGGGCAACTATTAAGGAGAGGGAACCAGGCAGCCTGGAAGCTGGCCAAGATACAGCTTCAAATCTACATGGCACTTCTCCTGAGCAATGAGCTTTACCAAGAAAGGCTGTGTCACAGTCCCTGATGTCCAGAAAGGGAAGCTGACAGGCAGGGAACAGCACAGAGACACGCCCAAGTTCATTCAGCAGCCCAGGGGCAGAGCCAGAGTCAGAACTTGGCTCCAGCTCCCACCTGGCTCCCAGCTCACGGCTCTGCTCGCCAGACAGCATCATCCACCCCTGGGTCACCACTGGCACAGAGCGAGGAGGGAGGGCTGCCACAGAGAAATACAATGCTACCAAAGAGAAGCTGTGATGGTGGCAATGCACTGCAGGAGAGACTCTTCTAGGTCTTCCTGTGCTCCCACTCTCTGGGCAGTTACCTACGCTTTAGCACCGAAACACAATCTTTCTTCAGCGGCCCGATCTGCAGGTGGGCATCGACGCTTTCTAGGAAGAATGCTGGTTTCAGCTTGCACAAGAAAAGAGAGGCAAATTGGTGGTTGATCTTGTTCTGGAAGGGGTCAAGCTGGCCCTTGGCAAAATGGGAGACCTTGAGCTGCTGCAGGCAGGTCATCTTGGAGTCCTTGACTCCATAGAAGGTCAGGGCCTTCTCTGAATACTCTAGGAAGACCCCAATTGTGTGGAAAAACGGCTGCTCGATGACAGACTCAAGGCCACCAAACCAGGCCACGTAGTTCTGTCCGTTCCACTGCAGGCAGCAGGACTTCTCATTCCGCCCCAGGCGCCCGCGGTTGTAGGACTCCCGTGGGTCGAAGTCCTCAGCGATGACGCCAATGCTGACCCAGCCGTCGATAAGCTCCACCTCCCAGTAGTAGTTGCCGCGGTTCATGAGGTTCACACCCAGCACCTGCTCGCAGTTGATGAACCGAATTGGGCTCTCTGGGTAGGGGATGGGGCACAGCACCCGCTTGGCCCCTTTGGTGCCAAAGAGCTGGATGAACTTGTCGGCTGTGTCACTGTCCAGGTCAATGATGAAGGCAACTGTGTGGGGCAAGGAGAAGACATGAGGGTGAAGAGGGAAACAGGAGAAAATCCCCTCAGCCCTCCATGCTCAGATTCCCTCCTCCAGCCTTGGCAAATAGCACCATCCTTTCTGACTTTCACCATCACTCCATCCCCTTGCTTTTAAATCTCATGGCCAATTTCAGACGATGAGGATAAGGAGCTGACATTCCCATCATCAGGGTGAATACAGATAACCAGGCAGAGGCAAGAGCAGAGGGGCTGCTCAATGAGCTTAACCATGGTATTGGACATGGGAGGTAGAGTAGGAACATCCCATATGAAAGTGGGTTTCAGGCAGCCACAGACAAACACAGCAGGGAGGGACCCCAAGATGACAGGATAACAGCCAGACACATCCTTGCTGTAAACCAGCAGCTCCCCGCAGTCGGCTTTCACCGCCCTATGGCTCCTGTTGGAGCAGAGGCAACCCCCAGCACACGGGGCCAGGTGAGAACCACTGCTGCATCCCAAACAGAGAGGACATCCAGCAGGAACACGTATCACTGCCCATCACCTTGCATGTCTGGACCCACAGCATGGCCAAACCCTGCAGCAGCGGCATCACACACCCCACTTGAACCCACGCTTTGCTGCCCGGCTCCCAGTGGGGTGCACCGGTACCACCAAGACAGATCCTGTCCCCTGTGGACATCTCAGTGGGTGACCCCACATCCCCTATGCAGGATGTTGGAGCCCAAGCCCAGCCCTGCACCCTGCCAGTCTCAGCTCCTTCAGCCCCGCTGTCTCTGCTCAGGCACTGAATTACCCCTCTGCTTGCTGCCACTGAAGCTGACCCTCATCAGGCCGCTGCTCTGCAGTAAACAAGGCAGATGCACCAACTCTGATCTAATTTAAAGGAGGATTCGATTCGTCAAGGGCTGGATGGCTGGTCTGGCAGAACCACAGACAAGGGAAAAAAAATATCACCTAAAGAGATTATGGCTGTTGTCAGGAAAGCAAAAAGGCTTCCTCCTCAGCTGAGCAATATTTCCTCTGGTGGCGGCAGTGCTCCTGCCAGCCGTCGGCTCGGCACCAGCGCTGGCTGAACATGTGGGAAGGAGCCGGCCAGCCAGGAGAGAGGAAAGATGGACCTTAGCAACAACTGTCAAAGCAAAGCCCCTCGCTTACATTTCAGGAAGTAATCGCGGCTCTCCAGGCAGGCGGGATTGTTTGACTTCTCCGGAAATCGGGACTCAGCCAGGGCTGCAGAGACAAGGACAAAAGGGTAACCACCAGCAAAGAAACCGACGCCACAAACAAGAGCATCACCCCCAGCCCTACACCCTGATGGTACTCAGCTGCTGGTACCCAAACACGAACCCAGTCAGCATCCCCAGCTCCCCTGAACATCCCTGCCAGCTTGGACATGGGAAAGAACAGATGCCACCTTTCTACCCCACAAGGAGGTGGGCAGGAAGGGCAAGGAACCAGCTGCATTTCCCATGGGCATCCAAAAAAATGAGAGAGGAGAGAGCTCAGGCTAAATGAGAGAGCACGGAAGAAAGCTCCCGCCGTGGCTTTCTAACCCTGGCAGGTTTGGGAGAACACAGCCTGCCCCATGAAGAGGATCATCTGTCCTGGGAAGAAAGAGTCCCCTTTCACGGGAGGCCACTTTGGCCACTTGCCCCCTCCCTCAGGGCCCTGCCTAACTCCCAGCCTGTTTGTTGCCTCTCCAGCCTCCGGTCTCTGTGGAAAAATTCATAAAACCTCAAAGAGGAGGCGTAAGCCCAGACAGGGATTGTGCAACGTGCAGCACAACCATGCCTGGCAGCTTCCAGGGCTGGTGGGAGAGGGGCCAGCACTCGCAGAAGCCATCAAGCCCGCAGGTATCTCCCACCTACGTGGGGAGGACAGGGGGTGATGGAGGGACCTCTGGGCAGAGGGGCTGGATGAACACAAACCTTCCTCCTTCTCCTGGAAGCTCATCCCATCAATTCCTTTCCCCTGCAAGCGATCCCACTGGTTTTTGCAAGCAGCAGACAGCACATCCTTGATGGCACCCACAGCTTGGGTGCATTTGGTGAAGTTCAGCTCGTTCTGGAAGCTCAGAGTCAGGGAAGGGTTTTCTTCCATGGCTACTTTTAAGGCCTGAAATTCCTGAGCCAAAAAGAGGGAGGTTCAGGAGGTTTCAAACCAGCCAAAGTTGTCTCTTGTTCCACAACCCCACCCTGCCCCGGGGGATTTGGGATCTGGCAGCTGACAGGGCTTGGCCCAAAGCATAAGGGAGGGGAGCACTTTCCCGGCCACGCGTTCCTGGCGTCTTCTCTCGCTCCCATTCAAACTCAGATCCAGGCCATGCCCACCTCACATGGAGCAGCATCTCCTCCAGAAAAGGTCTCTTCTCACCAGGCTACCAGGGAGGGGGTGGTGCTGGAAGGTGACAGTGGGGCACCCCACTCTCTGTGTCCCCGACACCAAGGTACTGAGCCTGAGGAATGCATCAGCTTTTCCCGAGATGCGGTGAGAACAGAGGTGGGGGTGATGGAGGAGAAAGTCTTGGCTCCTCAGGAGCAAGGAGGGGACAGGACTGTGCCAACAGGAATGAGACTCTGCAGCCCTCACGCCCAGCGCTCCTGGCACCCAGCTCCAAGTGAAACAGGACAAAACCCCAAAAGACAACACCATCAGCTCCTTCTCCTCACCCCATCCCACCCTGGCACCTGGAGGAAGTAGATGGTGTTGGTGCTGGAGATGTTCTCCAGGTTTTGCTTGCCCTGGGCCAGTTTGGCTCGCCTCTCCTCCTTCCAGCGGAGATCGGCCTCGGCCTCCCCCAGCATGGAGCGCTCCCCGTCCTCGATGAAACTGGCCACCTCCTTCTGGAAGGTCGCCAAGACCTCGGAGGCTTCTGTAAAGAGCTTCT